TGGGGAATTCTGGGAGTTAAAGTCCACTCATCTTAAAGTGGCCAAGTTTGGACAACACTGGCCTAGCTGAAGCCATATCCTCACAAAAAAGAACATGAACACGCTTTTCTTCCTTATGTACATTCTTTAAGGAAGAAACTAATTAACTTCTACAGTCCTTTATTCTTTTCTTTTATCTCACCCTCTTTTTTAAAAAAAAAGAAAATGAAAAATGACTCAGAAATGAATCTGTTTCCCCCTAAAACAAAACAGAGCATTTAAGGACAAAAATTATAGCCAATTTTAGTATAGTTTTTTAAAAAACGGGTTATTTTAAAAAACAACAACACTTGTGTTTTAATTATGAAACTTACGACTTTACAGGCTGCTTCTAAATTTGCCTGTTTCTGTGAACATACAGCACATCAGAAGATAGTCTGATTTTTTTTAAAAAAGTATCCTTTTATGTTCAGTTCGGCTTATCTTCTCTTGATCGAATTTCATGCTTGGTTTTTCATTCTTTCTTTCTCTCTCTAGCAAGGACTGCCTGGCCCCCTTTCCATTTATGGTAGCTAAAATATAAGTCACACAGTAGTCTTACTGGACCAGATCGCCCTGTCACAAAGCAGTTTTTCAGGCATTCTACGCTCAAACCTGTATTAATGTCTACCCCTTTAATGTGTCTATCATGAATCCAGCCCAGGATTCCCAAAACGGTCCTTGGGCGCATCATTCTGAGAGCTTCAGACTGAAAACATTTCTCAGCAGCTTCTACGATGATCTGCAAATATCCATATGTCATATTCTCTTCTTCTGCAAATTTATGAACCTCCAACACATGTTATTGGCATATGAACTGGTCTATCACAGATACACTTTTCAACGCCCTTCCCTGCCACCACAGCTAGGTAGCTACAGCTCTGGAACAAACAGTTATTTTTCTATCTATAAAAGATGTATGGATTTCACCCACACTCTGCACTCGGTGGACCATCAAACTTGCTGCCATCCATCCATTATCCTGCATTTATATATTAAAAGTTTATCCGTCTTTCTACTCAAAGAGCTCAGAGGAACATTTATGGATTCCCTGTAAGGATTCTTCGAGTTGGAAGCAGCCCCTGAGGTCCAGGGTACAGCCCCTGCCCAGAGCAGGAACCCAAATTAAAGCAACCCCAGTGTCTGTCCAGGCTCGGCTTGAACTCATCCCACAGAGGGAAGACCCCGCTTCTTGGGGAAATGGGCTCCTCCGTCAAACTGCTGCTCCTATAAGGACCTTTCTTCCTGACATGCCTGCAAGAAGGTGAGGCTGAGAAACTTCCTGGCCAAGGACACTGCCAGGCTCCTGGCATAGAAAGCAAGAGGCTCGCCAAAACTTGCTGAAAGGGAGAAGGGCCTACAAAGGGACAGTTCAAACAGTCAAGATGGCGCCCAGGGGCCAAACTTCAATCATGGAGTTGCAGATGCCAACTTGACTTGCTTGACCCCCTCCAGATGCCCCTGGAAATGTGATGAGGTCACAGAAGGTGAGCCATTGGTTGCTTTCCCTTGAGTCTCCAAGCTTGGAGAATGAAGTTTTGGATTCTCTTGCTAGCAAGCATTGGATGGCCGGGGGGGGAGGGGGGCGGCCATCGGTTCTCCAGATCAGGGTTCCTTAACCTTGGCAACTTTAA